TTTTTTTTTTTTAGACAGAGTCTCTAGCTGTCTCTCTGGGTAGAGTGCTGTGGCGTCACAGCTCACAGCAACCTCAAACTCTTAAGCTTAAGCAATTCTCTTGCCTCAGACTCCCAAGTAGCTGGGACTACAGGCGCCCGCCACAATGCCTGGCTATTTTCTTGTGCAGTTGTCAATGTTGTTTTGGCTGGCCCAGGCTGGGTTCGAACTCACCAGCCTTGCTGTATGTGGCTGGTGCCCTGCTGACTGAGCTATGGGCATCGCCTGACCTTTCAATTCTTTACTCACTATTTATGTAGGAAATATTCTGTATAGTGTGAAATCTGAAAAGGAATGAAAGGAATTGAGAAAATGACAAACAGAACTGGGTCTTACCTTCAAAAAGGCTTTCTTTTCCAAAGTGTTCATAATAAATGGTGGAATGGCTGAAAGTAAAGATAGAGCCACTTAAATCTTTATTTCATGTCTATTTTCAGCTTGCATTTTATCCCAACAATTTGACAGGAGTCTTTTGTCACTTTTAGCCCAATTTTCATGCTGGCAGAATGAAAACTATCTGTAGTATTTCTTTAAATAATTAAACTTAAATTTATTAAATTGAAAACTGTTCCTGTTCTGTAGATTTTTGAAAAATAACGTAATGCCCTCTGCCAGCCAAAAAGTTTATTATCTTGAAGAGAACTTGACATTTAGCTTTAAACAGGCAATGGTACCAATGCTAGGAATCTTTCCCTCCTGTATTAATAATGTAAATGGAAAATGCTCCTTGGGTGTCCAGCATGCGTGAAGGACAGAGTAAACAATCTTATCTTCAGTACAGGTTAGACCACATGCTGGCTGGGTGACTCTGAGAAAGTTACCTAATATCTATGAGCCTCAGTTTCCTATTTTCCTCATCTTTAAAATGGAGAAAACCATATTAAAGTGACCGTGATGATTTGACGCGATAATGCACGTAAGACGCTGGGTATGTGATGGGCAGTGTTAGTTCACTTACTTACAACCTTTATCACACTAAACTGTCATTCCAATATTTGGATATGTCAATTGCCCTCATAGATTTCACTGAGACAGTAAGATTTTGTTTCTCCTTTGGGGACTCAATAGCATGTCAAATAATCAAGTCACTGGAAATGGATTTGTTGGGCTGGCTAAATTCCAAAATGATGAGGCATTTCGAAATGGGAAAGACCCAGACCAACAGCAAACCCAGGGTAGAAGTTTGAGTGACAACCTCTATTTCAGCAAACCTGGAAATCAGGGCTCAGCAGGCCCTTCGGAGTGGGCTCCTCAGCCTCCTCCTAGGTTAGTAACAAATGTGGTGGTGCTGAATTCAGGGACCCTTTGCCTACATTTCAGGATTGTGGACTAGCCACCCCCACAGGACACACTGGCATCCCACGCCCAAGGTGTTCTTTTGTTAAGTCAGATAGTGGCGATCTTTCTCCAGTTAGCTGGAATGCAAATTTCACGTTCTTCAAGGTTTTCCTTCATGTCCTTTTGTTCTGCTCCTACTTGCCTGCTAATGAGCACTCACAGCCACAGAAGAATGTAAAAACTGCAAAATAATACCAGTGGGACAACTGCACAGTGGTGGATGAAGTAGACTTCATTTGGGACTTTCATTTTCATATCCAACTGCTATTTGCATTCAGTTTAGATGATGACATTGAATGTGTTTTAACACTAATAATACTTTCTGTTCAATACAAATTTCTGTTTTAAATATGAAGAGGGCTATAAATCTCAGGTCATAGCTCACAGCAACCTCAAATTCTTGGGCTTTGCAGGTAGTTCTAAATAGCCCTCCAGGTAGACAAGAATCCTCAGAGGAAATAAATACAATGTACATTTTCTGCTTTTGGTGATGCTGGCCCCAAACCCTAGTGAGGAAACTTGAGGAGTGGCTTGGCAACATTTTATTAGCAGCTGCTCTAACCCATTCCAATTTGCTCTGTGTTCCCAGGGTTTCCTACTGATACAGGTAAATCTTCAGTAGAAACTACTTCTTTCCAAGGGCTCTGTAAGTTTCTTTTCAAGGTTTTTAAAGATCAAATTTCTTCCCAACAAGTTCCTATCCTCTACTGCATGGTCCGGGTCCAACCGGCCACTGTCTTTTGCCTGGAACAGTGAGGCAGCCTCCTGAACAGGCTCCATCCAACATTCTTTTTCCTCCTTCAGTCTTTCCTCAACCCAGAGTGACACAGTTAAAACCTAAGTTTGACTGTGCCACTCTCCTGTTCAAAAGACTAAATGGTTTTCTACCTTTCAGACAAAAAGCCTAGCTTGAAACACCAGGGCAGCCATTTACACTCTGTCCTGCGTGGCCTCTTGATGCCCTTCCTACTGCTCCCCACCTCCCTCACTCTGCTCCAGGCGCACCTGCTCTCACGATGTCTCCGAGGCCCCAGGCAAGCTCCTGCATCTCTGTTGGCCTCCCTCTGCCCAGAATATCCGGTCCTGACCCCTGTTTGGCCCACGACCTCACCTCTAGCCAGTCCTCTTTCCCGATTGCCCCAGCTGCCTCTCCCCCCAACACCCACCACTTCCTTCCCTTAGCCCTTATCACCACTTCACATCCTGTACTGTATTTACTTGTTTATTTTCTGCCTCTCCTCACAGAGGCAATTTCCATGAAAAGGATTGACTGTTTTGCCTGTTCCCCGATCCATAAAAGCTTGCTCAGTCTATAGTGCGGCATGAAAGAACGGGGGACAACATTCTACTGACCCATGCCAGGGGCTGCCATGAGAATCCTGGAGACGACGACTTGTGTGATGGCTTGTTTTGCTGCGTTTGCCGATTCCCCTAAGCGGTTCCCATTTTCATCTGTGACAGGAATGCCAACTTTGAGTTCCCTGCAGAGCAAAACACACATAAAGAAGTTCCCCAGTGTCTTCACAAAATGTCTTGGAATAACACTCCTTACTTAGTCCAAACATCCATTCAAGTGTCATTTTTGGTACCGACATGTTAATTTTTAAATACCATGAACTGGCTTAGTCCCGTGATAACACAAAAGTAAAATAACACTGGTAAGCCTACTTAAAAGGGTGTACCTTTTGTGATAACAATATGATTTGAAGGGCAGATATGGTAACTCAGAGAAATGCCTAATTTCTATGCCCATGTGCAAATTTTAGCAACTTTCCAAATGAAACATAATACATAATACAGGGCTTTATTAAATCAACTAACTCAATACATTGACATAAAAGAAGGCACTAGGGTATGGCCCTACTGAATAACTCCTATTGTTACCCTGGTTTTTTGCTATTTATTACAAAATGCTTTTTCTTGTTCTTTCTTCTCCTTTAATTTTTACCAGTTCTAAAAAAATATTTGCAAAGATATAGATTAATATTACTTTAAGCCCCCAAGCAAATTCTTGGAGGGGAAGGGAAGAAATGTATTTTGGAGAATAAACTTTCTTTGCGGGCACCTTCTTGGTCCAACCCAAGCACAATCCAATGTCAGCTTGATATACATCTTTTAATGATACAAACATAGAGAAACTAATTTAAGTCTCCAAACACTCCTCAGCCTGCTCCAATAATTAGCAACTCATGGTTAAACTTGTTTCATCCATGGGCCCACCTTCACCCTCAACCCCAGATTATTTTAAAGCGAATCCCAGATCTCATACAATTTTTTCTGCACCTATTAAAATAGTTTTTTTTTTTTTTTAGAGATAGAGTCTCACTATGTCACCCTGGGTAGAGTGCTGTGGTGTCACAGCTCACAGCAACCTCAAAGTCTTGGGCTTAAGCAATTCTCTTGCCTTAGCCTCCCAAATAGTTGGGACTACAGGTTCCCGCCACAGCACCCAGCTATTTTTTGGTTGTAGCTGTCCGTGTTGTTTGGCAAGCCTGGGCTGGGCTTGAACCCACCAGCTCTGGTATATGTGGCTGGTGCCCTAGCTGCTGAGCTACAGGCGCTGAGCCTAAAATAATTTTTTAAAACTTTCAACAAAGCTAATTATGACAAGAGCCTCTCCTGTCAAGCACAAATCCTTGCTAAGAGTGTGTATGAATCTTACCTTTGCCTCATTAACGGAATATTAATGCAGTTAGCAGCAGCTACGGCGGCAAAGGGAACAAAACGTCCTATCAGTGGGGAGACATGCTGTGGAAGAGACAATTCCAAAAGCATTATCTTCCTTTTCCTGAATTACTGGTTGGAAATAACTAACTTCGTCTTGAAAATGCTAACGCAAACTCCTATTTGTATAGAAACTCAGGCCAAAAATACTTTCAACCCTTGTTTCCTAGTGGTATTTCTGTATTCCTGGCATGGGAGTGCTGGGACCATGCACACTTCTAAGACCTTCAGATAGCTTGGTGTGGTTGCATGAGGATGGCTTGGGAGTCCCAAAGTCTTGAGCTCCGACGCTGGCTCTTGTACCTCTGCAGAGCTGTGGCCTGAGGCCCAGTGCTCAGCCCACATGTAGTGTCTAGGAGGCTATAATGGTGGGTGAGCACTTGGCATTTGATACCTAGAGCCAGACACAGGCCACCGCATTGGCAGATGTTATAGGTAATATCCCTCCTGAAACTTATTACAAGATATAATTAAAATCTGCAGTTAAAGATAATGACTAGGATAAGAAAGTCGTATGACTTAAACTATTTTGAGGGATGATAGAGGGACTTTGAGCTGGGCAGGTGAGAACGAACTAAGAATCGTTATTATGGAAATAAAAGTCCAAGTACCTTGGTTAATGCATTAAGTCCTAGAGCTGTGGCTACAGCACCAGTTGTTGCAGAAACATAAGCTGTTCCCAATTCACTGAAATGAAAAGAGGAATCCCGGATGGTGAGCACTTGTCAGGGAACTTTGCTACAACATTATTTGAAGAAATACATAAGGGGGAAATATAAAAGAGGGTGATTAAGAACGGAGGGGTCACAAAACAACATTTGTTATCGCTCTTACGAGAAGAATCTGGAGAAAAAGCAAACAGACTCACAAAAAACAGGATTCTTCACATATAACCTGACTACAACCTCAAACAAGGAGACATACAGATTTGGTATCTGTGGGAGGGGGAGAATTTGTGTGCAGAAATCTATGCCTACAGGCAAATGTATATTGGGCTAAATGTTTGGAACATATATTAGAACCTCCATAGTTGACCACCTCCTTCAGGTGACCTAATTTCACAGTCCCGTTGGGGCTCAACTTACAGAAGTTCTACTGTATTTGCCTCAATAAAAAATACAGTACCTCTCAAAATACACATATTGAAAGCAAAAATGGAGTGCCGCATTTTAAAAATGTTATCTTACTGAGGGAAAACCCTAAGTCTCATCTTCAAAATGCAATAAAACACAAGCAATTCTCTCTTCCTTTAAAAGAAATTTTAACTGTGATAAACAGCATTGGCTTGCAGATTTCAATATCCTTTGTTCCATACAAGGACAGAAGAACACAGGCTGTCAAATGCAATTTTAAGTGATTAAAAAAAAAAAAAGAACTTTTCTTTCAAATGTAATAAAAGTTACGCTAACATTTTAGTCTGTCAGATTTATTTTACAGGAAGCAAATTTTTAAGCCCATTGCTTTTTTCCCTTTGGGCTATCTTTTAAAAAGTCAAATTTAATGGTCACATCATCCTGCTCTTCTCTGGATTTCTGCAGAGACTACACTGATGACCCTTCTCCTTTCGAGGTTGGTGGCTGCTGACTTGGGCACAATGGAGGGGTTAGAGCTTGTCATTTACCAGAAGGCAGACCTGGGCTGCTTGCCATGTGTCCTACAGAGGCAATATGCTCTATCCAGGGTGCAAAAGAGGAATCATTCTACGAGCTACTAGTAGCTTGAGTAATGAGAAAGCAGGCTGGAAGAAAATGGGTGTTTTGATACAGAGGGAGAAAAATACACACTTTACTTAAAAGACACCACATAATATTCTGAACAATGAACGGTTCTGAACAGTTTATATGGATATACTTTTTGTCACCACTTAATCATAGGAACACTGGGGAACCTTAGAGCCCTCATGAATCTTACAGCCTTACTTCACAGTGAGGGGAGCGTCTCCACTTCTGTTGGTGTAGTTGACGACAGCATTGAAGGACTGGTTAATCCACTGCCAGAACAACACCGCCGGCGTAGTCCTGAAACAGAGTGTTTAGTCACATACCCGCGATCACTTGGACCAACCCTAGGTGCAGGGCAGAGCATGTGAACACCAGTAACCAGAGAGGAGGAACACTGGGGAAGGAAGAAATCTGGGCAACGACCATGCATTGGGCCGGAGGCTTAGGACGGGTGTGGCTAGCAGACTTTTACCCTCTCTGATCCTCAGTGTCCGCATCCAGTAGGTATGAACAGCACTAAGCTCAGGGGGTTACTATGAGGATGAAGTAAGATTGTATGTGTAAAGGGCCTGGGACAGTAAACACTCCATAAATGTCAGATCCCTTCTTTTGGAGAAAAATGAAGCCATAGGGAGCTAAGTAGTCCTGGCCCCTCCTTACTGCAGGGACAATCTATGTTGGTGCCTATGTCTACGTCTACAGTTACACCTCTATTATACCAGTTCCTGTACCTATACCATATCTGTGTGAATGGATTAAAGGGAGAATTTCTCAGACTTTTTATTTTATTTTATTTTATTGTTTTGCAGTTTTGGGCCAGGGCTGGGTTTGAACCTACCACCTCCGGCATATGGGGCCGGCCCCCTACTTCTTTGAGCCACAGATGCCGCCCAGACTTTTTATTTTCTTTCTCTACCTCATTTTCTTTTGGGTCTAAGATTTAGGGAAAAATTCAATCTCCTTTTGCCCAGTAAAGAAAATGATATTTAGCAGAGGAGAAAGGTAAAAAGACCTTTAGAGTAGTAACATTATATAAAATGAAACTAAAAATGAAATGACATTTATTTCTTTTTTAAAAGAAATTATACTATTATATTTTTTCATTTTTATTTTTTATTGTGTATCTTTTTGCAGTACAATGTCTTGATACAAGTGGAAGGATTCAATCATTCCAATGGAGCTAATTCTCATATTTATAACCCCTCATATGTTTATAAAATGACATTTCAATAAAATTATTTAGAAACAAAAAAATGTACTTTAAGCTTTTGTGACATCAAACAAACTGCCGTTACACATCTGTAACTTACCTATAAAATGTCATCATACAGCCTGTGATGGTCATGTTCATCGGAACCTGAGCTGACATCCTTCCTATCAAAATCATCTTTTCACCAGTGTCAGGATGAAAAGCTGAATCATAGATGTACTTTGCTCTCCATAATTCATTTTCTGTAAGACCTGGAGGAATAATTCCTTGCCTAGGAAAACAACAAAAAACAACATGGCAATTTTTCATTTCAAATATCATACTCATGCCCTAGAGACAAGTAGCTAAAAGGTTTCAAAGTTTATGTTTACCTAAAACAACAGTCCCTGTCCCTGGATGTAGTGACACTCTAACTAATGCATACATAGTCAGTTAAAATGTCAGAACGTAAGTGCTCAAAATGAACTTTTGAACACATTCATTTTAAATTATTTATCTTTGATAAAGCAAAAAAAAAAATCTCGTATAACAAGGAAGTATTCAACTTTGAAATGCTTTTTGTCTTAAATGACATAGTTTCAAATGTATTTTGAACTTTGCAACCTCTAAAATATTTTTATATTTTAATAAGATGAAAGTTACGGCAACTAAAAATATTAATTCATGCCAGGCATAGTGGCTCACACCTGTAATCCTAGCACTCTGGAGGCCAAGGTGGGTGGATTGCTTGAGCTCAGGAGTTTAAGACCAGCTGAGCAAGAGCAAGACCCCCGTCTTTACTAAAAAATAGGAAAAAGAAAAAAAGCTTCAATGACACACATACACAAATAACTATTACAAACATGCTAGGAGTGCAGATAAACATTTGTGTGGTCTTTCTTTTTTTTTGTTGAGACAGAGTCTCACTATGTCGCCCTTGGTAGAGTGCCATAACGTCACAGCTCATAGCAACCTTAGGGTGACCAGACTTCCCGATTTTGGCGGGACAGTCCTGCTTTCCAGCAATTTGTCCCGCGTCCCCCCGCGTTTTAAAAGAGTCCCGATTTTTGGAAAGAATGAACGAACCTGCTGGAGAACGAGAAGGGAATATACGGTTTTTGGCCGCCATATGGTTATTTCGCCAGAATATGAGTTTTATATTATTTTTGTTAATTTTATAATGTTAAACTGTAATAAATAATTGCTGAGAAGTGATTATCAAGAACGGCTTATCAAAGTTTGCATTGTTGTCAGGCCCTACCCCGCGCTCCCGCTCACGTAGTCCCGCCTTACAGATGTTAAAATCTGGTCACCCTAAGCAACCTCCAACTCTTGGGCTTAAGCAATTCTCTTGACTCAGTTTCCCAAGTGCCTGGGACTACAGGTGCTCGCCACAACACCTGGCTTTTTTTTTGTTGCAGTTGTCATTGTTGTTTTTACCTGGCCCGGGCTGGGTTTGAACCCGCCACCCTTGGTGTATGTGGCCAGCACCATGACCACTGTGCTATGGGCGCCGAGCCTTATTTAGTCTTTCTAAGCAGAGATTTTATTCCTATCTAAATACAAAAAAAAAAAAATTCAGGGCAGCATGTAATATAACCAACGAAACAAAATTAAAATCTGAGTTAGTCACGGTATGCATGCAAATTCCATAAATAATGATGCGGCTGCTGGTGACAGAGATGAGTTTTAGAAAAGACATACTTAGGCCGGCGAGGTGGCTCACACCTGTAATCCTAGCACTCTGGGAGGCTGATTGCTTGAGCTCACGAGTTCAAGACCAGCCTGAGCCAGAGTGAGACGTCATCTCTAAAAATAGCTGGGCGTTGTGGTGGGTGCCTGCAGTCCTGGCTACTGGGGTGGGGGGACTGAGGCAAGAGAATCACTTGAGGCCAAGAGTTTGAGGTTGCTGTGACCTGTGATGCCACGGCATTCTCCCAAGGGTGACAAAGTGAGACTTTGTTTAAAAAAAAAAATAGAAAGACATACTGAAGTAGAAGAATAAAAGACATGTTTAAAGTTTCAATGTTTTACACAGCTCTGTCCCTGCACATTTACTCATTGCTTTTGAAATAATCTTGAATGTAGGGAAAGATTTATTCATAAGAGTTTATTTACTTTCCCATCCTTTACAAATGAAAAAACTCAGAAGCAGTTAAAATGCCCAACACTAGGCCATTGGTATAATATATTACACAGTATTTTACAATCACACAGTGGCATACCATGCAACATTTAAAAGGAGGATATATTTGTTTCCTAAAGCTGCAAAAACAAATTGCCACCAGCTGGATGGCTTAAAACAACAGAAATGTATTCTCTTGTTAATCAATTACCGTCCTGGAGATTCAAAGTCTGAAAGCAAAGTGTCAGTAGGGCCCTGGTCCCTCTGCAGGCTCTAGGGCAGGATTCTTCCCTGCCTTTTTCTAGGTTTTAATGGCCATAGGAATTCTTTGGTGTTCTTTGACTTGTAAGTATAACTCCAATCTGTGCCTCCATCATCACATGGCTTTTTTATTTTTCCACTAAGAATCTTCCTAAACTAGGCTTTTATTCTGTGGGTTTAAAAATAAATTAATATTCTTTTTTTTTTTTTGAGACAGTCTCACTTTATCACCCTCTGTAGAGTGCTGTAGCATCACAGCTCACAGCCTCAGCCTTCCTATTAGCTGGGACTATAGGCTCCTGCCACAATGCCCAGCTATTTTTGTTGTTGTTGTTGTTGCAGTTGTCATTGTTGTTTAGCAGGCCTGGGCTGCATTCGAACCCACCAGCCTTGGTGCATGTGGCTGGAGCCCTAACCACTGAGCGAGCTACAGCCACCTGGCCTGAAGCTTTTAATCTGTTAAAATTTATCTTAAGAAATGAAAATGTAAAGCTTGCTTAACTTTATTTTCCATTTGGCTGGTCTACATCGATCAGGATTTTGTGAATACCAGGCTTGATTTCTAGACCTTCTATTGTGTTCCCACATATCTATGTATTCTGATGCCAATAGCCACCATTTAAATTTGACCATCCATTTTAACATTTATTGTGGAGTCAACTGTCCCTCATTCTGTTCTTTTTCTTGCTCTAAAATGCATTAGTTATATACATTAATTTATTCTTACAGATAAATCTTAGAATTATTTTGTCAATTTTATAGGAGATCACAATTGTATTTTGACTAAAACTGTATGAATCTAGACAAAGGTGACACCTCTGCAGCACAATGCCTTTCTTTTTTTTGAGACAGAGCCTCAAGCTGTTCCCCTGGGTAGAGTGCTGTGGCATCACAGCTCACAGCAACCTCCAACTCCTGGGCTCAAGCGAGTCTCCTGCCTCTGCCTCCCAAGTAGCTGGGACCACAGGCACCCGCTACAACGCCTGGCTATTTTTTTGGTTGCAGCCGTCATTGTTTTGGTGCTCCCAGGCTGGATTTGAACCCGCCACCTTAGGTGTATGTGGCTGGTGCCTTAGCCACCTGAGCCACAAGCACCAAGCCCACAATGCCTTTCTATCTGGGCCTACCACATGTCACTCCATGTACTCAAATGCTTCCTTCAGTGACTCCCAGTGGTCCTGTAATTGCCACATGCTTCTGCATTAGTTTGTTCCCAGGCATTTTTTCATTGTTCTTATGAATATGAATAAAAGATATTGTCTAGTTGCCATGGTGCCTCCTGCCTGTAGACCTAGCACTCTGGGAGGCTGAGGGGGGAGGATCGCTTGAGCTCAGGAGTTCCAGACCAGTCTGAGCAAGAGCAAGACCCCTCTCTACTCAAATTAGCTGGATGTGGTGGTGGGCACCTGTAGTCCCAACTACTTAGGAGGCTGAGGCAGGAGTATCATTTGAACCCAGGAGTTTGAGGTTGCTGTGAGGTAGGCTGATGCCATGGCACTCCAGCTTGGCAACATAGTAAGATTCTGTCTCAAAAAAAAAAAAAAAAAGAGAGATTGTATAATTGATTATTGCTGGTATATAAGAAGCTACCAATCTTTTTTTGTATTTTTTTTATATATTATAAGTGGCCCCCTCCCTCATCATGTTCTTACTTGTTCCACTGGTTTTTCAATTGGCTGTTGAGAATATCATTTACATAAAAAAACTGTCTCATCTTTTTGATATCTCCATAACTTATTTCTTTTTGTCTTACTGACAAAAAGGACTTCCAGAATGATGTTATACTGAAGACAAAGACATCCCAGGCTTGCTCCTTACGTTAACAGGAATGCCTCATAGTGCAATGTTTCCAGGGCAATGTCTTGGATATTAACAGATGTTATGAAAAAGAAGTGAAAAAGAAAAGGGACCCATTTTCAAGTTTGGGCAAACTGATTAAGCAGCTTTCTTTATCGTGGATTTCTTGCAAAATTTAAAAAGTTAATGGCATATGATATTCTCGAGAGTGGGAGGTAAACTTTCCTGAATTTAACTAGGAAAACATTCTCCCTCCCCTTCTTCCTCTAAGAATTCCATAGGATTCCTACTCTGTAGAGGTCTGTTTGGGAAGCTCAGCTCTAATGTTTTATTATTTAGGGTGAGGCTGTCTTCTGATATGGAAAATGTATGGGTATTCTTTACCACATTAAAGAAGTGCTATTATTCCTAGCTGATTAGTTATTTTGTGAGTAGTTGTCTAATTTTAGCTTCTTTGGGGAATCTATCAAAATTTGGCTTGTTTTCCTTAATCTATTGATGTAATAAATCACATTAATAAATGTCCTAAAAACAAATCACCTTTTCATTCTTGGAATAAAACTTAACTAGCTCATGTTGGGAACCAATATCCTGGTATTTATTTTTTTTTATTTCTGCATTATTTGTAAGATGGACTATTGTTTCCTTGTAGTACATTTTCATCATTTATAAGTGTCAAGATTGCGAAAGAATTGGGAAGTATCTCCTTTTTTCCTATGGGCTCATAACACTTTCAATTAAATTAGCTTTATTAATGTATAATTTAAATACAGTAGCACTTATCCAGTTTAAGTGTGCAATTTGATGATTCTTGCAAAATGAAAAGTGCACCCACCCTCGAGGGTGTCCAACCTTTCTTCTTTTCTGCTGCACATTACAAAAATAAGAGTTGTCTTGGGCCATACCTTAAACACACAAACACTAATGAAAGCTGATGAGCAAAAAAAAGGGGGGAGTCCATACATACTTTTCATGATATCGGACAGCACAGATAAGCAAATAATCTGCATGCCTCTTGCAGGTTGGACACCCTGGGAGTATTTCCCCCTTTCCAACTGGGCTCTCTGAAGTCACTCCCTCACTTCCTGCCAACCACCAACTTGCTTTCT